TGTTTTGGACTGCCAATCATACTAACCACAAGTATACTTCACTTGCATTTTTTTTAAATGTACATACATTTGTACGTTTAGCCCGTTGACAGGAGGGACAACTGGCATAAATTCACCAGATAACCATCATCATAAAAATCCCTATATATTATTAATACACCAACCACAGATTTGTTGAGTAATAATACAAAAAGATCAGACAAATTGAAATAAACCTAGCAATGGGCAAACTGCAAATCAAATAAACCACACAAAGACAATTCAAACTCAAAATCCTTTTGAAAATGAACAGTTGTTGATATTCTTTAAATGACCATTACATTTAGATACCTGACCAACAGAGCTGGTTGATGGAGTAGGTTGTAGTAATCATTTTCGTCAGGGTGTGAAAGAAAATGTCTAATTTATATGTAATTATCATCAGTCAATAACAGGAGGGTACTGATAACGGGAGTGATTTATATATTTTGAACACGAACACACACACACACACACACACACACACACACACACAGCTGAATGATGTAATCAAGTCATGGACAATGACTAATGATTTGCAACCTAAATACTTTTCTTTCATCCAGAAAAAGAATGATTACTAATCAACCCATTTAGTTATGGTTTAAATCACGATATCACTGATAATAACATACGCCACACTTGGCAAGCTCACAGGGCCATTTTAGGCCTTCACTGACATCCTCGTCTTTGTTTATTCGTCCCTTCTGACAACTGGTGCACCACACTCGCGTATAATGTGATTAGTTAAGCACATCAGATGATCGGCTGCTCGTAACACTCGCCGGTAGGACGTTTCTTACACTACACCATTAAAACAAGCAAGTCAGTTTCCAAATTTACACCCATGATTTACAGAGGCCTACATTTCTGGCGTAGTTCTCTATCACCACCGATTCACGTTAGCATGTTTAGCCACTCACGTCTTAGCTAAGTCCCATGCATTTTGACAGTGGCTTAGTAGAATACGTGTAAAATCCCCAAAAGCGAAAATTGTCCCGTTGAATCTTCACTTTTACGAAAGGAAAATGCGAAAAGGCTAGAAAGCACACACCGGAGACTCGTTAGTTAAAGTTACGTTGGCTAACAGTGGTTACATGGAAATGCGTAGTCGGCGTAACGGTACCGGTCTGTCTGTCTTTAGCCCCCAAAGTAAACGCATTGACACATTAGAATAGCTAAAAGCTACCTTGTTGTGGTTTGAAACGGTCATTGTTTTTATTCAACAGTCAAGACCAGTAACCGTTAGCTTAAGTTAACCCAAATTAAACATGGCAGAAAATGGCAGCATCGGCAGGTCCGTCTGTCGCAAGCGGTTTAACGTTAACGTAATATAGCTAACAGGCTATAAGCTAACTTGGTATTCTGACTGCCATGACACACTGGTCTGTGTTTGGCTGTCGATCAAGTTTGAAGGAAAAAAAAACATAAATGCCTCGCACGCAAGTTAGCTCACCTTCTGTACGGTTCGATGAGATGATAAAGTCAATAATACACAACTGTCAAGTCGTTTGGTAACTGGCCACATCCAAGAATCACTCTTTTAGGAACTGTCAAACGAATGTTGAGTACACAAGTATAGCTAGCTAACGTTAGCTAGCTATGGGGATCACTTGTTTTCTAAGCTGATTTAAGGCCAATGCCTGCTTCTGCGCTGGCTAGCGCTGTAGCTAATTTTAGCCAGACAGAAACAAGCTGGCTACTAACAAGCAACGTGTCAACAAAGTATATACTTCCTAGTTCGGTAAAAAAGGACAAATTAACGTCAAGAATCTAATTTAGCTAAGTAGCCTATCTTGGCATGAATAACAAGTATCGATGCTAACTATTAGCAAGCTAATGCTAGCTTAGCCAAATAAGATAGCGAATGTTTAGTCAATGACGGTTCACTCGCGAACAGTAGGCTGACAAATATAAACACTTGGCTGTTAGCTTGGGAAGCTATTGTTACTTGTTGTTAATTAGTGAAGATAGCTGTCCGGCTGACAAAAAAAATACTGACCTTACCGAAACCGAATTAGCTACTGCCGGGCAGTTACGTAGATGACGTTTAGCGTTGTCAAATCAAACAAGAGCATTATTGCTATTACCAGCTAACCTTGGCATGCGAACTAATTAATATTAGCGAGCCTTGTTGTCGCTAGCTAACGCTTTGCCAGCTCGACAGAATGCTAATGGGATTCCTTTGACAAACAACAGCCTCGTTACGACACACGGATTCAGCCTTTCTGGGAACAATTTTATAACATATTGTCAATATATTAACAATTTGTCTAGCTAGCAGCTAGCACGTTAACGCTAGCTAGCAAAAAAAGAAATGGCCTCTGATACCTTTTAGACACAAAAAAACAGGAAAGCAGGAACGGGATTCGAGATATTTTCGCAACACTGAGTCATAATTCCTCCGATGTTTTTCGATATTGAATAATCTCGAAGGTCCGAGTGACTGTTGGCCGAGATGTCACTGAAAATGTCTACCTTTTGTATAATGTTGTTACCTATTTGTTCCAGTGTTGTAGTTGTAACAGACAGTGCACCAGCTCCTCTTTTCTCTCTCTACCACTGCTAGTTTCACATCAGCTGAGGGGGCCTACAACTGCAATATACATCCGCGTGATTCATCCGCTGAGGGACTAGTTAAGTCTACTGCTGATTTTCAGCTTGCAGCATCTGCTTGTTTTTTTTGCCAACGATGCCCCCGCGAGCGCTGTGTTTTGCTCTTTAAATATACGGCTAAAAAGTCTTCAGACAAAATGCGCTGTATTTTTGTTGGTATTCAAATATAACGACTGCAACACTTAAGTCATTGGTGACATTAGCTTGTATCAATCCGCTGGGTCGTGACCCCCCCATACACACACAACACCTTTAAAAACATACAACTATAAAATAATCTGATGTCCAACAATAATGCTTCTCATCAACCCACATGACGTTAAATCCAGCACAGTGTTTCCAATACAGTTAAATAAAATAAATAATGTTATTTCAGTTGTCATGGTAACAATCGTGCGTCCAAAATGGCGTCTTACAGGGTCCACCTCCTCAAAAAGATTTTTATTACCAATATTGAGGTTGAGTGTTTGTAGGAGTTTCTATTTATTGATCAGAGCCTCAAAGAATAACGTTGAGTCACTTGGGCTTAATTTTCACCTACAACGTTAACAGCTAGCTAGCTTATAAATAATGCCTTGCTGGGCTTCTCATTTATACTTTGTAGACTACTTTCTGGCAAAAAAAAGACTCCAGAAACATTTTACATTTCAAGTTGAATTGAGTGTTAAGGTAAACAGTGAATTGATGGCAAAATTATAGTTACCAATTTTAAAATTAATATTTAAAATAAATATTGCAGTGGGTTAGAATCCATCATGCCTCAGGTCATTTGTTATTCCAGATATTATTATACATAATTGTATTTTGGATTCATGTGCAATATAAGCTTTTCCTGGAATTAAATCAAGTCATAATATCTTCACTGTGCCGTCACGGTGTATTTCTTTCTAACTTTATTGAGATCATGGACGATTTCTGTGAGACTTGACTGACAAAGAGCTGAAGACTTCCCATGACAATTTCCGACGTCAGAAAATGCTACAGTGTTGGTTCTTCATCAGAATAGAAACCAATTCAATGTCCAGTAGCCTGAAAATCTTTTTCACTTTTGTTTGGCAGTGTTACAGTACTTAGTTTGGGCTCAGCATTTGCTTTAATGGGAATCTATCATTTGATGTCCAGGGTGTGCTTTCCACTCCGAATCTGTGGAAAAATTTGGTGCAGTTTTCGGGCAGAGGATCCTAGAATACACAAGATCACTTTGTCAAGGAAAGTTGGGTTACCGGATGACATAGTGCTCCAAATCCTGTCCTGGAGCTGACAGATGTGACACTGCTGGCACAGGCCTCGCAGAGATTCAGTGAGGTAAGAGCCTCTTAAAATGTTTTAAAAGTTTACAACAGTACAATAGTGTCTATATTAGATGAAGCAGAAATGTTGTGTTATTTTCTATTTAGCTGTCTCTCCACCATGCACCTTTGTGCTGATTTATTTTTACACTGATAACCACACCTGTAAATCTGCATTGTGACAATACCAGCTCGGCAAGTCTGAGAGGTTTTGGGAGATAACTGCGAGGAATCGCTGTGCTGAGCTTATCGGTGACATGGAGGGCATAGCAAATGCTATGGGCGGGAGGAAGATGTTTTTTACCTTTTTCCACACCAGTGTCCGTACGGAGAAGCAATGAAGCAACTGAACAGTTTAATTACTGTTGTGCAACCACTGCAGTACCATTGAGTGTCAGTAATAAAAGTGTACTTTGAGAAAAAAGATCCAGTGTTTTATGTGAGGTTTAGTGTTCTTAAGGTTTACATTTTGTGTTGAAATGTGTAATCTACAAAAAAAATGCATATTCAATGAATTCAAAAGTGCCAGATATTCTTCAAAACAAATCCTTAATTCTATTCTCCATCAAAATATTAAATAGCAACAAAGTAGTACTATATGATATGATTTTATTGGGGACTAATATATTGTGACTTGACTATTTATATATCTGTGTTGATCACATGTGGTTTTATTATTCGTAACTATTGTCGACATGTGTATTTAAGCATGTGTATGTATGATGTATGTTCTATGCGTGTATGTGGATTGTGATGCTGGCAAGTGTATTGTGTGATGCAGCGGCTTGGAGCCCAAGACAAATATATATAAAACATGATTTAAAAGGATTATTACAAAAGAATAATTCTTAAGAAACTGGAGTCGCGCTGACATCATATCAAGGTCAATGGTCAATTTCAACATACACTTCCTGTTTACATTTGCCAAAGAACTGCTCCTGCGCCCTCTGCTGAGGTCCCTCAGCTCTCAATGCTTACAGCCAACCTGGGTTTGCATACTGTCTCTGTGCTGTGTTCACTGGTGTAGCCAGCAGAGGGAGCAACATGGCAATGGAAACTAGAGTCAGATGATGGGAGGAGGAGGATCAAGCAAATAAACCCTTGGGTAACGTGTGCAAAACAAGTGCTGTAATTCTGGTAACCATATCCAGGCCTAAAGACCACAACACACCTTTTTCTGGATTGAAACCTTGAACAAATACGTCTGTGGGGGCATCTGCCACACCGGTCCAACCTCCCCTGAAACCTGTACAAGCAAGCTACAGTAACGTAAGACAAAGGTATGCATTGTTTTTTTTCTTCTTTTTTTTTCTAACAGGTATCTTATTGGATCAGAGACAACATATGGGATAGTAATTGTCAGCTACATACTAAAATACTGTCATTGTTTCTTATTGTCACAACAGGAGGACAGAAAGAAACACAAACATAAGTCGTTCGCTCCTTTGTCCTGTGTTAAGGGACGAGAAGAATGTGTCGTTTTCCAGCATGCTATTTTACATTAATGTTGAAACTCCCCTCAATACTAAAAATTCTTCCATCCAAATGATAGCCGCGTGTTGGAATGATCTGACATATCCGCATACAGCCTTGACTGGTTGCTCCTATGGCCTATTATTAGCCACTGATCACTGGATACCGCCTTCTCAGCTGGGTCTAGTCGAGGAGGAAAAATATTCATTACGTAACAATACAGGATCTGTCTCCCAGACCCACTTCCTGAATACCACAGCAGAAACTAGGCCCTAAACCGAGGCAGAGCGGAAGCCTCATCCATTTGTTTGCTGGAGCGGTGTAAAGCTGGGCCGCTTGTTTCATGCTTATCCTTTGCTTCCTCACATTCACCACGCCACCCCTCCTTCACAGCTCCTCTTTATGGGTCAGTGATGCAGTGGGAGTGACGCAGCAGCAGCCTCCAGTCCAGAAGACAACTATACACGGCAGGACCAGGGAACCTCTGCCAGAACCGTAGTCTACCGGCAACTTCCAGACTGCAGTGAAGAGGGAAGATGGTGAAGGCCTAATCTAGGCCAAAGAGACTGAGCGGGAGCCGGGTACTCACTGTCCTTTCCTCCTCCAAAACAAACACCAGAGAGACGTCCACAGTGGCAGAGACAGGCTCAGCAAGACCTGCGCAGAGACATTTTGGTAGGCAACTCAAAGTATGAGTGCGGGCTACGGCAGTAACATTGAGTGCTACTGCAGGGATGAGTGTCTTTCTATGCTAAGAGTGTAAATGCTTAGAGAATGAGGATGAGGCCTACTCAGCCTTGTACAGCGGTCTGTGCCTCCCTGCTAATTGGAGTCTCTACAGGCCACAGCCGAGCTTACTGAGCATCGGAGGCCTGAATATTTGTCCCGTATACAGAGTAGTATCTGTGCGCTTTAAGTAAGGACAGTGAATCATTAACTGTTTTGATTCCAGTTTAGCTTGAGATGAGATCTACTTTGAATGTGAATTTATAAAAATTATAATTAACATAGATGATGGTTCCCAAAACTGTAAAGCATGTGTGGCAGATTATTTAAAAGCACTTATTTTATTGGTTTAAGACAGATGCATTTCAGCGTACATGCATTAATAAGGTACATACAAATTGGGGGTTATTTTATGTAAGAAGGACTTAAGGACGACAACACGGTGGACTGGATCGCACAAAGAACCAATGGTTTAAGAATTATTAGTATGGCCGCCATCAAAACCTGCATTTACTATCATTGAAGTTACTGGGGACATACACACTAAATGTTACAATGATAAAACTTCTGTGTAGTTTCTTTAAACGCCACTGGTCTTCCCGACCTGGCTCAGAAAAAAACACAAATATACAGCAGTCATCACTCTTTAACATAATGGCAATATTTTTGTTCACATGAATTAATTCTTATTAGTTAACTTGACTTCTTATTATGTGTTTCTTTGCTGTGAATTTGAGAAGTTATATTATCTTATGATTGGCAGCAGTCTCTGCAAATAACAGTCAGCTGTGGTGGTTGCTGCAAACTCATCCCACTTCAACTCCAGCCAGGCTCCCCCTTCGTCTCCCAAATTTAGATTTTATGGCTCCAGTTATAGAGTATGCACTGAAACCACATTTTGCCTAATTACTTGGATTGCTATCTCTTTTTTTTGTTGTCGCACCAACATGGCCCATTGTGTACACCGGCTACTCCCCCAGGGCTAATGTAGAGTTCTTCGAGGAAGCAGGTCTTGCTGTCAGCAGAAGACTGAGCTTGTAGTTAATTGTATATTTATGATACCAACATAATGTGATCACTTCAGAAAAGGGAACAGGACAATATCGCAGCTAAGACTTAGAGTGATAATTGAGTGTAATTTAAGCGACTAAAGCACAAACACACCTTATATAGCTTGTTTTCTTCAGGGCAATGAGTGACTGCATGCATAATGATATGGCACCTGCTACTTTGTCTTTTAACGCCAACAGTGCATCAAATTAAATGGCTTTCGAGAAGACCCACACGGTCATATGACTACACTCAGTTGTGCAAATTAAAGAGCTGCTTCCGTCCTCGGAGGCTAGCGAGAGGCTCACAGTGCCACGTCGGGTTCAGCTTCCTCCCCTCCCCCTCGTCTGCAGTGCTGACGCATCTGCTGCTTTTGCATCAATCAGCAGCCTCTATATAGGTATACTGAGAGCACCCGCTGATAGCAGGACTCCCTTTTCCCCCTCAGCCTTGCATTTTAGTTCGCACACTCGCTGCGATTGTGAGAAAAGGCATCGATGAACATCTGTCCTGTGACTGCTGTTATCCACAGTAGGACAGTAGTCACTGCCATCTTCTCACAGGTTCTGCTCTGCATTACCTAACCACAGTGACTGCGTAAGCACAGACGAAAGGCTTTGATGTAATATGTTGCTGCACAGATAGAGTGTGTGTGCACAAGCATGAAGCAGATGGTGCAGCATTACGCATTCAAGGTGCATGTTGTCTTTATGAGGGCTGTAGATATATAGCCTTATTTCATGCAAAAGAGATTTTTCATTTTGGTCAACCTCGATGCATCGGGATCTACCCGGTGTGGTGCTGGGGGAGATTTAATATGTCATTTGTTGTATAGCGGAGTATCCCCACGCTCTACGCTGCTACCAGCAATGCAGCTGAGTGTGTTTTCTCTGGCTGTAGCATCGAGCACAGAGCTGGTGTGTGATGTAGCACCCAGCATCTCTCCGCTCTCCCTACAGCCCTCTGCCATGCTTAATAAAAGTTGCTGCTTCCTGCTCAGCGGCTCCAGAACGAACGCTTCAGTTGCCCAGCTAGCACAAAGGCAGAATCATACTCCGGCTTAGCTACATGGTGGATAACCTGTGAGTTATTCCTATAGCGGCGGCGGCACATTCAGAGGAGGGCAGGGCAGATCTAGCCCAGGACCTGGGCTGCATGGATAGAGGCGAAGGACGTTTGAGCTGGAGTCATCTGCACACAGAGAGGGAGGGAGAGGAAGAACGACGTCAGAGAAAGCTCTGCTTCTGACAACACCACTGTTCAGCGACCATCATAGAAAAAAAAAAAACTACTTTTACCTTGCTCTCACAAAACAGTTTTTTTTATGTATATATTGAGGGCTGTAGAAAAGAGATACTGCATGACACAGTTTCCTGTTTGCCCTGCATCATTCTCTCTGATTTACTAAGGTATGTTTGCATGGTTTCCCTCAATTCATAACCTGTTTTTCTTTGCGGAAGTATGCTTTGCAGAGATGCGTGAAGTGGCTTTTGCTTTGACATTTCGCTCTCTGTTTGACAAAACTGTGTCTGTGTGCTGTATTGTCATTTCATGGTTTGTGGTTTAGCATGTGGGGATTTTTTATTTTTCAGGTTGAGACGTTAAAGAATAATATCACATGAGCTTTGAAGGTAAAGCAAGGTTGGGTGTGGCATCATCATAAGAACTGATGACAATTTTTTAAAATTTCCGCTCAGCATGTGGTGGCAATAAACCACAGCAATTGGTACAAACTGTGGCAAGTGAAAGTGGTAAAGTAAAATAGCAGAAGAAAATATGAAACTGTTTCTGTAAAACGTCACAAAAACGAGAAATTAGAACAAAAGCCGTAGCACATCACCTGCTGATATCAGATGAGAAAGTCCTTTGGGTAGCATCTCTGCTGCAGACAAAGACAGACCGATACACACAGACACAAAGTACATTCAAGCGGAGACAAAGGCAAACCTCGATTGCTCTGTAGACTGCTGTGTGCTGCAGGTTCTCAGAGAGGGCAGAATGTTTGTGGGAGAGAGGGAGATCGAATACCCGGACAGCTCAGACAGTCACTTGCCATCCAGCTGAATCTCAATAAGTGCTGCGCCATAGCATGTTGCTATGACAACGGAGGCCTGTCTGAGAAAGAAGGCAGGAGGCTGGTTGTGTTTTCAGCAGTCTCAGAGGCTTGAAGAATGGCGGCCATATTGGATTTGTTGCACGAACACGAAATTGGAAATGGATGAAAAAAAAAAAAAAAAACAACATAAAATGACATCAGTGATAACTTACCTAAACCACCTTTGTAGTAAACTAAAAAAATACTGTAAATGTATTTGAGAATAATAAAATGTCAACTAATTTCCAAATGGTGTGTAATGCCCGAAACAAAATTAGTAAAAAAACTAAATAACATACGAAATCAAATTGAACTGCTTGTTAATTTAATATAACTTCAGACTATCTTCACAGTATAATTTGCGTAGACTAAAACCCAATTAAGACAAATTAAACTCTTCTCCTGTTTTCCACTAAGTAAGAACGCAGAATAAATAAGTTTGCAACAGAGAGACAATAATAATGTGAAGTACTAACTGAAGATGGATATTTAAAAAGACTCAGATGTGATGATTCATCACTTACAAAGGCATGCTGAATGTGTTTTAGCAGATTCAGTCAGCATGCTAGCGTGAAACACGACTTAGTCTAGAATCACACCACACTGATTCGGTTGTGAGTAGGCCACAGTTAGAACACCATGCTGGGTGACACATCCTCTTTCTAAAGTGAGAATGAATGAACTTTAACTTCCTTAACTGGAGGATTAAGATATGTGGCCTATACTATTAACAACACAGTTTCTTTGAATCGGCCGATTTATTATTTATTTATAGCAGTGACTATTGTGCTTCTGTGCTACATTACATGATATGAATGACTGTAATTTCCCTCATGAGGCATTAATTAACGGTTCCTTGTAGTTTTTAGAGTTGACAAAAAATGTATGTGGGACAAGTGAAAGGATGCCTCAACTGCCAACTCACAGACGATTGAAAATGGGGCATATGAGTCATCAGTGCGCAACTGTAATTTTCATATTAACCTAGGCCTTGAGAAGAATAAGATGACAACAGAACCAGACCTAGTGAGGAGCTGCGGTAGCACACTGGATTCAGTTATTATAAGCAATAATCAGGAGTGAGTGACTCATGGCATAATTTACTATAGGCGCAGGCTAATACTTTTTTTTTTTTTTTAGAAATAAAAACTTCCACTCGTCTTCTCATGACTTCTCATGACTTTGTTAGATTAGTGCATCACAGACTTGGTTTGTTCATGACAAGAATATTCCACGTATGAAATACCAAAAGTCAGTGATGGAACAGAAAGGAAACTATTGGGCAGACAAAAAGTAATCGCATGTAGGAGGTAATTAAGAACGTCCTACATTCAGTCACCATATCCAAGACTTTTTCAATCATAATCTTCACAGTATAATTCTAGATGAGTAGCAATATTTATATTTGGTTGTGTTATTTGACATAGAAACTAATTCTTGTGATATTTCTAAGTAGCTGGATCATGACCCCCTCCCACCTGGGTGTTTTCTAGTGCAACTCACAGGCCACTAAGCTCCACTGCAGCATTTGGGAGTTAAATTTCTGGCTCAAATGCATGTTGACAGTAGTATCAACAGACATAATCCCATTACTCAAAACAATCATTGCCCCACGTGTTAGAGCTGACAAATGGTTTACAGCTCACAGTGACTGAAATATCATAACAAATGTATTTCTATTACAGTATTACATCAGTGAGGTCTTCCCTATAATGACAGACATTGATTGGTCTCATTTAGCCTTTAGAAGAGATTAACGATCTCTTACACAGGAGGAACAAGAATAAGAAAAAATAAAACAAAAGCTCAGAAGAGACTTAGGAAAGTAGTGACACTATCCTTAATCAGTTAGATAAAAGTGCCCACGATTCATTAAAGTTTAAATTGAAATTTATTTCAACGAGAGGGGATGGAGATTAGGCTGTTAGAAATGTTGACCAGACTGTTGGCACTGGAGCTCATCTGTCAGGATATCACTGCCATCTAGTGTTAAACGACTGGAATAGCTCAAATACAAAATGTACACGCTTCATCTTGATTTATTCAGGACAATCAAAACAGTCCGATTCACCATTTTGTAAAAATCTGATGAAATGATTTATTTTTCTGTCTTCTTTTTCTAGATGACTGTGGTGTCCCCGTGCACTCAGAACCTCATGGATAGTGCTCACCCTCACACCGTGCTCAGCAAGCTCAACGAGCAGCGCTCACAAGGCCTCTTCTGTGACGTTACCATTGTGGTGGAGGACGTTAAGTTTCGGGCCCACAAGAACATCCTGGCAGCCTGCAGCGGGTACTTCAGGAACGCTCTGACATCTCCTGAGATATGGAGCTCCGGCCAAGTGCTGGAGCTGAGGGACCTGAAATCTGAGGTGTTCGCTAGCATTCTCAATTTCATCTACTGCTCAAAGGTGACGTCACCTGGTACAGAGGACACAGGGGGGCTGGTGGCGGCTGGAAAAAGACTCGGAATTCCCTTTTTGGAGAAGCTTGCAGAACAACAAAGGCAGGATGAATGTGTTAAATCCACAGACTCTGGCTGTGAGCCAGTGTCAAAAAAAGCAAAGCAGGAGGCTCCCAGACCTGAGGACATCGACAGAGGGCCCCGCATCACCAATGCCTTCTCCATCACTGAAGTGTGTCCTGGGAACAATATCTTTACCCCTCTGGTTCAAACCAATAGGGAGAGGCAGTTACCAGATGTGGGACCGCTCCCATCAAATAACCCAACAACCTCCTGCCTCAACAAGAACACTGAGACAACGCAAGCCCTCTTGGAGCACTCATATGCAGTAATCAAATCTACTGAAGGCAACGACAGCAGTCAGTGGGACAACAAGAAGGTCTATAAACCAGCCACATCTGAGCCAAAACAACTAATTTACAGGAACGCAGGCCCGCTTAAAAAGCGCCACAGGCTGGGAGGAACTTTGTGTCGAAGTATACTTCCAGCGCCAGCTGAACCGCAAAAAGATAAACTAAATACGATAACCCCGACATTAGCTGATGGTGTTTCTGTAGCAGCACCTGTTGCAGTCATGACCCCACCTCCACTTATTTCAGAGGTAGAAACTGAAAAAAGTATGGGGTCCGGGATTCCTATAGCCACCGACAATGTTCAAATGGAGTTAGGCCCACCAACCCTTTCCCCTCACACGGAGGACAGCATTTCAATTTACGGATGTGGCCACTGTCCGGAGATATTCACAAATAAAGCTCTTCTCGCCATTCACGCAGAAGTACATAAGAAGCGGTTTGTTAGTCATTTGTTTTGCAAGTTTTGTCACAGAAAGTTCATACACCTCAAACGACTGCGCAACCATGAGCATGTCTGTCCCAGAGCTGCAAGAGGCCCGCCTAAACTGGATGCTCCCGACATATCAACCAAAGAGGCGGAACTCCATTCAGATGACGCGCCCAACGCGGAGAACAACGTGACACAGCTTCCCTCTGCAGACCTCTCCACACCTTACACCCCAGAGCCCCCACGAGTGGACCAATCACAGCGTTCACATGTTGAGAAGCCAGTGAGGCCAGGTGGCAGTCAGAGGAGATACAACTGCAGTGTGTGTAGACGGGTTTACGTCACCTTGTCCAGTCTGAAGCGGCACGAGAATGTACATTCCTGGCAGAGGGCATATCCCTGTCACTATTGTAATAAAGTGTTTGCATTGGCAGAGTACCGTACGAAGCATGAAATCTGGCACACAGGTGAACGCCGCTATCAGTGCATTTTCTGCCTGGAGACGTTCATGACCTATTATATCTTAAAGAACCACCAGAAGTCGTTTCACGGTATTGATCCCAGTCTTGCTGTGAAGAAAAAATCGGCCAACGGTGGTCTGAAAGCCAGTGTTTATCCAATCAAACTCTACAGGCTTCTGCCTATGAAGTTCAGAAAGAGACAATACAAGACGTACAGCCAGACGTTCTCAGAGAGTGTTGAAAAAGATGACGAAGCTTCAACGGAGAACAACTCTTTTATCCCTCCATTTGAAGAAAACGGTCTGAGCAGCAACCCCGATGCCGTCTCATTCCCTCTGACTTTCATGGCAACACCAAAGATGGTGGCACCTGTCATGCCTCGCATCAGCTTTGGCAAGCTATGTGACCGGGAAGTTGACCAAAGTCTGAACAATGACTTGGAAATTCAGAGAGGCACAAGAATAGAGGCTGAGAATAGAGATTCACCTTTCACCGACTACCACAGCACCTTCTCTTTGCAACCCGAGTCTCCTGCAGTGGGTTACAAAGACGATCCTCCCGTACTAAGTAACTCAGAGCTCATCAGTCACAATCTGCCATTCCTAAACTCTTTGAACACTGTTAAGAAGTTAAGCGAGTTATCAGCTTCTGCAAAAAGAGTTGAGGACATGACCAAGGAGATACTTCAGTCAAGCACTGAGAATCTGGCGCGCGATAAAAAGATGGGGGCGAAGACAGAAACGTATATCGCCAAACCTGCGTGCCCGGGTCCATCTGTGGATGGTGCTGCCATGCCCCTCTGTCAGATAACGGTGAAAATAGGCAATGAAGCCATTATCCGTCGCCGAATCAAAGGATCCAAGCTCTTCCCCAGAAAGAAAAGGACATTCAGAGAACTGAGTGAGGAGGAGAGCCCAAGTCAGGGCCCGCCAACACGGGAAGACTCAGAGAGCCCCAGGCTCCGTCTGAGACAGGAAGTCACTTCTGCCACAGCGCCAGAGACGTTGGAGGATCCCAATGACTGCGACACCGCTGATATGCTTTGGCGTCCCTACTATTCTTACAAAGCTAAAAAGAAAAGGAAGAAGTTGAGATTCAAGCACGGAAAGGCCTTGTTTCAAGGTTATCCTGAAACATCTGGAGACAGAAGTGCTCCCGGCGAGGCCCACCTTGATAAAAGTACTTGGCTGACAGAAGAGAGCATGTCAGGTTGTAGTGGAGAGGGGAAACGCAGTCTCAGCAGGAACTCCAGCCCGAGGACCACCTACAACTGTGACATCTGTGACAGCTCTTTCATTACAGAGACAGGTCTGAGAGCTCACGTTATTGGTTCCCACCCGTGTTTCTGCCGGACCTGTGGTAAACAAGGTCCCCCTGGTGAGGTGCCCGCCGGTGGTGATTACATCTGCAACCGCTGTATGGAAAATGGCTCCTGCTTTGATAACACACCCCGGAGCCCCAACCCAGAGAAGAAGTATCGCTGCTCCTTCTGTCCCCAGCGCTTCCTCTACCTCGCCACCAAGAGAAGCCATGAGAAAAAACACCAGGAGACAAATGAGGAGGGATATAATTCGGACAACTTCACACCATGTTCTAATTACTCTGCACACTTGAAAGAAGACAATAAACAAGACGACGTCAAAACAGAAGACGGCGACAATCAGGGAGGCATTGACATAAAAAGTGAAAGGGTAGAAGAAGGACATTGTTCCATTGATAAAATGAAGCCTAAAATTGAGGACACAAATGACTCTATGTCTTTGACTACCTACCAAGACATGTCCAACATTAAAAGTCCATTATCGCCTTGCATTGATCCATTCTTTTCCCTGACAACCCCAAAGATGAAACATAAAATGGCGAAAAAAGGGATCAATGCACAGCATTCTATGCATCTCATCTCAAAAAAGCAGGCTTGTGACAGAGACAGCAATAGCAACCAGGACGTTTTGACGGGGCCAAGAACATCCAGTCACAATGATCTGGAGAAGTCCTGTAAACTCTTTAAGAGAAATGACTCTGAAATGAAAGGTACCCATGTTTCTATACACAAGCCAGAGAAATGGACATGCAAAGAGGAGCCATTTTTTTAAAGATAGCAATCGGCAAGAGAGAAAGTGAATAAAACTTGACTTCAAGCCACTGCTTTTGGTTAGGAAATGTAAGTTGTCATCTTTGCAGCTGAGCTCAATAAAATGTTTATGAATCAACAACACTAAACATGAGGATCTAATATGACTCACATGCTGTAATGTCTTCCCTTCTAAACTCAATGACTGAATTATTTTTCACCTTTGTAGAAGATATTTTTGGGATAATTTAGGACCTTCTGACACAGACTGTACTTTGCCCATTGTCTATGCATATATGGCAGACTCAGTGACATAACTGTACACAATTTCAGAACAGGGTTTAGGGTGTTTTGGAGAACTGAAAAGCTTCCTAGTGTGGTCACAGCTTCACTTTTTAAAACATGTCCAGAATAAACAGTATGAATTTCACAACTGTCACATTTCTGAATCTCACGTTCAGTTGCCTGGCCATGGTGAGTTGCACTTTATAAATAGACTATGCTGTTCTGTTGGTTCAAGACTGTGATAATAAGTACCATTGAAATACTTCTAATTTCTAATCAACACATGGAACCATTGAGGTTAAAGTTACTTTTGTGTGCTTAAAATGTATAAAACATGTAAAACTACTTAAATAAATGTTGTTGGTATTCTAAACAGATACATCCTGTCCTCCTTTAGCCTGGTATCGGGAAATGCTTGATTATCAATTCACAGTATTGAGAGACCACTGACTGATAAGCACACTCGCCAATTCTCTGACGGTAAGGGAAAAGATTTAAATATTTTAAATATTAGGATTTAAACAGTCATATCTGTACAAAACCCGTTTCACAGCAAACTATTTCCTAAATATAAAGCCACATGGTGGTTATCTGCTGCTCCGGGTGCTTCAGGGACCTGCCGCCCATCTGAGAAGTTCATTCCCTCATTCTTCAACACAAACTGCATCTGTATTTAGAGTTGGGTCTCAATACACAATTTCCAGATGTTTTTTTAAATTCTTTGCTTCTTTTCTAAAACTGAGCTGATGTAACAAATGGATCATACGTTGGAGGTACAAGGCACTGCTCAACACACTGGTTATGCCAGCGAGGTGACTTTTTCCATTCGTTTAATAAAGGATGATTAAGTATTAAAAACACTGATAGCAACAATTCATGTGATGTTACTGATGCTATTGAAGATTGAATATGAGCAGCATTTTCAGTCACTTTTCATTCACAACCTGTAAGAATATGGCTAATGGCATCGTGAGCCATTGCACTCTGAGATAAGCAAAGATTAGTTACAAGTATAGTGAGAAGCATGTAGTTGCAATCACGTCAATGTACAACTGAAAAGGCACATGCTCACTATATTCTACTATACCTACTATGTAATAAAATATAGAATACCAATCCAGAATATACTTCATATGTTCCATATATTTTTGGTGTTGTAAAATGCTTCAGAAAGATATTCTTGGTCTCATTTAATAAGGGATTTCAAATACAAAGATTTGCTTTATATGGCTTTTACTAAATGTCTATTTTAAATAGAACCCCTGATCTGAGGAAGACATGAAATATGTTACATTAAAGGCCTCGATGTCACAAACGTTGATGGTAAAAAGCAGAGGATTTTGTGACATAATGTGCAGCTTAAAAGATAGATTAGATGTTAATAGCAGGTGTTGTGAATTAGTGTGAGCTATACCTTAACAGGAGACAATAAATTGATTATGAAAGTTATAAATCATACCTGACCGCCCTTTCAGGCTCCCGGCTGCTATCAGCGATGAAAATCAAACGCGTGTTTTCACCCAACCAAAGGCAACATCACCTGGGAAAGAAGAAGAGAACACAGAACGTCTGCCATGTTTTCATCCAAGGGAGGTATTGAAATGAGATTGTATTGCAGATTAAGAGGAATAAATCATTTTTATAAATCAACAATCTTGGAATATTATATTAGGGGGACGTTTGCAGATGTCCACTAATAATTATCTATTCTAATGAGGAAATGACATAGTGATCATCACCTTAGCTATTTTCTAATGTCATTCTTTATCTTGCTTTAAGATGCAACCGAGGTACAACACAACCTCAGACATGATGTAATAATCTGTTAGATGAAAACACCACTGGGAGAAAAACATTACAGCTTATACTTTACATAAACATGTATAAAACTAGTTATATTTGAATGCATACTAACACCTTTATTAGTAGCATAATACCAGCTCTTAAACTGACTTTTTTGTACATTTTTTAAAAAGGAAATGGCTATTTATATACTAGCCTGTTAACTTTTTTCAAGAGTGCAAGACAAACATAACACCAGCTAGCTGTGATGTGTGAATTTGTATGTTTCCAGACACCTTAACAGGATCACTCTCCATTTCAGTATATTCTTTGTACAGTTCCTCTGATTTTATGTAGCCTGTTTTAGACATCTGTGAGGTTTCTTTTTGCAACATTGTTCAAAGTGAAGAATGTTTTCAACAGTCCTGAAACTGTGTGCCTTCAGAGAATGAGTTTTAACCCAGTGACACATGTCCATCTGTCTGACACAAGCATGTCATATATACAGACAGGGTTAAAACAAGATTAGCTAGCTAAAGCTAACTAGCTCCACAAGTCAAAAGTAACAGTTCTCCCGCGAGCGCAGTCGTTGCACAATGAACAACACTTACAGAGAGACCTAAAACTCCTACCAATCTGCACAGTGAAGCACTAGTCAAAGCAGGGCGCTCGTCTCTTTTTGAGGAAGCTTGATTTCTCCCAAAAACGTCGAGAGGCACCAGTGTGTACGGGACCTGACGTGACGCGGCAGTGGGGCTGGCTCTTTTCCTTCCACTCTCTGCCTGCATTCAAAAACGGATATGATAAACCAGCGCTGCTGAATGCGCCGGAGCAGCGACAACAAGTCAGCTCTGAACCATGGCGGAAGAGGACGACGCGACGGTTCGGATTTTACAGAGCCTGCGGGGTAAAATATGTAAGTCTTGACCCGGCTGAGCACGATTGTTTTTCCCCGTCTCTCGAGGTCGGTTGAAGGCGGAGGGGCGCGGCGTGAACAGTCAGTTGTGGAGGCAGAGGTTCAGTCCATCTGGTCGGTCTGCTGCTGGTTCACTTCAAGGTAGCCTAGCGTGCTAACAGGGGCTAGTAGCTTGTTGTGAATGATTTCATTCATCGATCAGGGCTCCAGGACCGTCAGCGTACTGAGTGTTTTGAGCGTAACGGTTATAGTTTTTTAATTTATTTTTTACGTTTTTAAAAAATGCGTTTTGTGTGGATTTGAGCTGCCCTGTAAGCTTAGTTAGCGTTGGTGGTTAAAGTAGCCACTGCCAACCTAACCCAGTCAGCTACAACCTCAATCACTGCAGGCATCTGACAGTCGGGAAACTTAGCTAATGTTAAACAATAACAACATTAATTCAAGCGATAACATGGAGTTCAACCGCAACGTTAATGTACACAAATGTAGGTCTCAAAGTAACGATCGCTCACTCTTTCTCAGTTTAACGTTAGCTAACGTTACCTAAGTTTTGACAGATAACGTTAAATCTTGTTAACGATCGTGGCACACTACACGTGTATCACAGCGGTGTGTTGATCGGTGACAAGAGACCAACTCTTTGAGTTCAAGTCCTGTCTCTTAATCTTCAGTCTTTGCTCCTCTGACCTGCAAGTGGAGGCATTAAAAACATGTCAATGCAGTCATCGTGTCTGCTTATATGACACTAGTTACATGAATGATTAAAAAAAACATCCGTGGGAATGAGCTGGCAGTCCTGCCCTGTAGCAATAGTGTAGTAATACACTAGGCATGCATGTGATAAGAGTCCAGATCGGAAACGTTTGGCTTTAAAGTGAAATAAAACAAACAACAAGCCACTTTCCTCATCCTCCTGTCCCTCGCAGGCTTGGCTGCTGGTAGTACCTGCCAGGTTTGAATGTGTAAACGTGTGTTTATTTGCCAAATTACTCAACTTCAGTGTGTGTGTGTGAGTGTGTGTATGGCTGCTCTGCAAAAAGCTTCAGCCATGACCAACATTTTCTAGATTCAAATTACACAAGCTGTACTTATTCCCATCATGTGTTTTAACTCATAGATATGATGCCGCAGATTTGATTATCCTCAGGTGTAATACACATCCATTAGTCTATATGCCCACTGCTGCACCGTACTCTCTGTGTTGGTGTTTGAGGCCATCGATTATGGTTGGGATTCAATATGCCCCAGTGGCATTGCTTCATCTCAATGGAGACAATTCAGTGTTGTCGATCTTCAAAAGAAATACATTTGACATAAGCTGGCACTAAACTGTAGTTTTTCTTAAGGAATAATCATTCGTATGTATTATTGCTATTTTAAAATATGTTTGACAAAACATGTTTAATATGCACTTGGGATACATTTCTTAAGTAGGTGTGGGCCATATCGTGACTCGCTATGAATCTGTCTTAAATGTATGTTTTTACTGTAAGGCGTATAGGCGGCTAACAAGTATGTAAGGGCTGGTATGCATTGGCACATGCATAGGAACTCAAATGTCAGTTTCACTACTATGAATTAATGACAAAACAGTAAGCAGAACAAGATAGAGGAACTGTCGTGGCATGTAACTCACTTTGCAGTCTTACGAAACTCCATTCTTCCTCGTTCACACTTTGTCCTTTTCCGTTGGCCTACATCAATCGGGTTGGCATTCTGTAAATATGTATTCCTGTGTGTGTATATGTATATACATATATATATATATATATTCCTGTAGCAGTTTTTAGATTTGTGTGCTTTGAGATATGTCCTTGTTCTCCTCATCGTCGCAGTAAAATCGCCGTCGTCAGCCAAGTCTGGTGTTGTTTAGGCAAACTCTCTGACCTTTCGCTCGTGGTTTTTTCACAGGGTGACTTGCTTCTGTTTTTAAAATGTTATTGAACAGACGAGAGGGCAGTAATGCTATCTGGATGTGTTTGTGTCTGCGTGCATATGTGCTCGTGTGCTCTACTCCCACCAGGTCATCCTGGTCCAAGCTTAGTGACGACTTGGCTGTTTTCACTGGCCGTTCCTAAGATTAGCCATTCACCATTATTAATAGCTTGTTTAAAAAGCTGATCTCACTGCTGGCTTTTGTTAATTAGGTCTCAACCTGGGCTTAGGGGTACGTATCCAAAGCTAGAAGACCAATTTAGACGACTGACCCTCGAATCTATTAGTTTAAATCTGATTCATTGTGAATTTCTCGATGGCGCAGTGTTTGAGTGACTGCCATGCAACTTATCTGGCTTTGATTTAATGCATTTCTTCTATGTAGGCCCGTGTGTTGCACAAAACCCCATGGCATAGAATTTGGGTCTTGTGTTCGTGCATGTGTTCGTTGCAAAGGTATTTGTCATTTGTGAATCAGCGCTGTACCGCCGTCATTGGTTAGGCTGAGGAAGTCAATGTTTCATGTTTTTAACCACATATGAGCCTCAAGTCTACGTCGGCTACATCCGCTCTGCAGCTTGCCCGAACAAGAGCCAGTGTCTCCATACGAAGGATGTTTAATGTAAAAGCACATTTTACAAGTCCACTGTGTATGATTGCAATCACACATGCTTATATTGATTAGGATTAGATTGTACAGAGTCAGCCTCAGTGAATTTATTAACCTTTCATTTTTTATTTCAGGTCATTTTTCCCCCTTTTTTTTGATTAAGAATAGCAGAAGAACTAAAACACATGCGTTGTTTATCTTAACTCTAGGACTGCCAGTTGTTGCAATGAATTATCAGAGTAATGCTTTTTTTTAAAGATCTGAAACTTGAATGCACATGTTCTCAGAACCTCTTGAGGGAATATCTCTGTTAACATTTCAAGTAATGTGGTTCACTTCTCAGTTCAACATACCTGTAAGATTCATATTTATTTTTGTATATCATATTTTTTTAAACCTTGCAAAAGACACCATACACACAATACAATACAGTACATTACTACCCTCCCCTGGATTTGCACATGACCCCTAACCATATGTAAATGAGTTGTCAAATGAGTAATAACTTCGTAAGCACACAGGATTTTCTACCCCATAGAAATATAATACTCTATTTCTATGTCCTACATGCACATGTTCTCAAAACTTCTTAAAGTTATATCTGTGTTGTGACTTCTCAGTAAGCATACCTGTAAGATTAATATTAATAACGGTAGACTGGAAGGAGGTATAGAAATAGAGACATGCTGTTGAATAGCGTGGGTGTAGATTGTCCAAAACCTGTGCCATTGATGTGCCAATGAAAGACTGCTGATGTCTTGATGCCAGTCGAGTCCATTAATAACAATCTTCTTCTCTTGGTGCTGCAGGTGAAGCTAAGAACCTTTGTCCAGTCTCGGGTCCAAACCGACAACGGGATCTCTGCACCTTTTGCACCATAAGTCTGGATCAGGAAGAGGTTTTCCGCACCAAGGTGTTTGACAAAAGCGTCAGGTGAGCAAGGTTACCCCCTGTATCTTCTCACTGTCTTATTTCCAGTTGGAGCTGCAGTTTTACTGCCGTTACTGTCTGTTGAGCCTGCGACATGCTGTCTTCCAGTGTTTCCATTTTTAAATATTGTAGATGAATAATGAAGTTTTATTGAAGAGAGCTTTCTATATCTTTCCTAACGTTGGTTAGTTGGATGGTAGTATTTGGCAAACTAAATGCTATTTAATTAAGCAAATGAAGAGCAGTAAAATGTATCGCAATAAATATTAAATCTCTCTGACTAATACAGAATTGCAGAGGTCTTAGAAAATGGGAAATTACTGACAGTAATATAGTGTAAAGAGCACATTCACATACTTATAATCCACACAAATAACAGGTACATATCATCAGTTAAGGAGTTGAATATTATGAGTAGTCAGTAATTAGTTTCCTGGAGAGTGTGATACTTAAAGTGACTCAGAAGGAGGATACATGTTAACATGTCCAGTTATTCGTGGTACAACTCATCTATAGCGAGTTATGTTTGCTATACAAGAAACCCAAACATCCTTCTGTTTTTATGCAGGCGAAGTTTCGGGTTCAGCGTCTTCTACTGTACCATTTCCTCCTTTTGTTAATTTCTGAACTAGCAGTGAACCGTTTCTCAGGTTTTGGATGTGTAGCTCACAATCGGGTGAAAATGTCAAACCTTCACAGCTTTACAAATGTTGGTGGTTGCTGCGCTTTTCTAAATATTGTAAATCACAAAGTGAAGCCTTTTAGTTGTCGACTGTTCATCTGTTGGCGCTCTGGAGGTCATCCGTCTTTTTCTGACACTTTGATTTGTTTAATTTACTGAATAATTGATAGATTAATTGACGGAAGTCATTTGTTTCCGCTCTAGTAATATTAATCTAGAATGATGTAAATAGAAATAGAAACATAACACCACTTGGCACTTAACACTGGAATTTTCCAGTGAATGTAACAAGTGTCTGCTAATGCAAAGTTTGTTTTACTGCTGTGATCACTGGAATAAATATTAACATAATGTGCCACACTTCGTTTCAGGAACAAAGTTGATTATGTTATGCTCGTATGGATTGATTGTATTACTGTTGGCTGTTGTTATTCTTTGTAGAGTTTACAGTTTGTTTCAAGAGTTGAAGTCAAAGAAAATGGAAATGACTTGCTGAGAAAACCTCCCATTTGGAAACAGTTCTACTAAGCTCTGCACCGTTTTTGTCTGTCGCAGGCCGATCATGTGAGAAATGTCCAGTTTCAAATCCAGTCATTTGATAACATCTTACAAATGTCAATATGTGACTCAGTGCTGTGTGTGTGCAGGGAAGCGTTTTAGCTGGGAAACACTCAGTGATTCAGACTGAAATGACCGTTTCTTTTATGACCCATAGCTACATTCACAAGCGGTGCAGAGAAAGGTGTGTGAGATGGGCACCAGGAAGCCTTTGAGGTGTCTTATCTACATTATTGCATATCTCACTGTAAACATGGGCTTGCCTTCTACAGGTATTTCACAACAGTTCTTTTTTCTCTCCTGATTTCGGTGCCATTCAAAAGGATTTTACAGTCTCTGAGGAAGTGTGTCCTCCCACGCTCTCCCCTGTCTTCCTCTCTGTGTCACTCTCAACTACCTTAGCCTCTGTTTAGCACAGCTTAATAATCACTGAAATTCGGCCCACTGTTTTTTTTTTTTTTGTGTGGATGGTGTTTGACTCATGCCTGTTGCATGGGTTCCTGTTTCTGATGGTTTAAAGGCTTTGGATGCCTTGGATAAAGCAGGCGTGTTCAAACAGTTGTGGTCAAGTGGTTTCGACCTCACATTCTCACATTATTTAGAGACCAGGGCGACAACGGAAAGGAAGGTAGTACAGTGGGAGTGCGTTTTGAGCGTGTGCAGAACGGAGGTTACAATTGCATAATTTCATGTAATGTTGAGGAGGATGCGTGGGTGCACACTGGATGTGTTGACCAAACGCAGTGCGGAAGTGTCAGGCAAGATATTTCACCATCCAAGAGGTATAAACTGTAGAGAGAGACGCATCCGTCCAGGGATTAAAGAGTTACAGGATCACATTCAGACATATGACCCATAAACTCCACTAATTTAGTCTGAGTGGCCGACTTATTGTCTACAAAGTTGTTTATATGCCAGCTGCTTTTTTTATGAACAGACCTCCAAACTTCGTCATCTTAACTGCCCCAAAATGTCTCTTTGTAAATCAGTAAAACTCACTGATTTGCAGTTTTACTTGAACACATGAGCGGTTAATCCAGTACAACCGTCTAAGTGCCGTTCAGTCTGTTTGGGACAGGTGGTCTGCTGGCAGCACGGACATCGAGGTAGTGCTTAACCTACAATCGGCAGTGTCAGACCAAGCTGTCCAGCTCACAGTCTTGGTGGTGAGGTAGTCGTGTTGGCAGGACTGAGTGGCACAGATGCTCGGGTGCTCAGTGTTTGGCCCGGCTCCCACGGGGAGTAAGAGATCTAACCGGGCTAGGTTAAAGTGTCAAACCCCGATGCTGTTTTTAATGACTGAAGTTTGCATGTTTTGACACCTGTCGGCATGGGTTTCTTCCAGAAGCTCAAGTCTGCTCCCACAGACTAAAGTCATGCAGGTTAGGTGGACTGGAAACTCAAAATGTGTGTTGGCCCCAGAAGCCTGTCCAGCTGTGCCTGATGATGCTGCTGAACACAGTATTGATTAGAATATTTTTCCTGATATTGCTGTATATCCCGTCATGACAAATATATGCTAAATTGCTTCTAAAAAAGAAAATGATTCTATTGAAACTGGCCATGTGTGATACAGCTCAGTATCAGTAGCTTTAGCGGATGGATGTTCATTATTACTAGTTATAAAGACCCTTTGTCGGTAGAATAAAGGCTTTTCTTGCTTGATTGTTTTACCTCAGTGGCTTTTAGCTGCTTAAATGTTCCCCAAATTACACTCATCATCACTTTACTCTGTCCTCTTTCATGTTACCTTCCAGATATTTTACTCGTCCCAGCTCCCACTTGACAGATTTTTTATTTTTTTTTCTTCCCATTTCATTTGGTGAGGATAGAGGGATATAACAAAAGAGTCTTCACGGATAATTCTTACAGGGTTTGTAAACTGTTGGACCACAAATTAAGGAAATGACAAGAACGGTTTTGGAGAGAATGGACGGAGCATTCCCTACAACCCCGATGAGTCATGAGGACACCCTGCGTGTCCACCTTCTGCTCAGACAGTTCATTTCCTAGGAAATCAACCAATCCTGGGATATGATAGTTATGCACAAATATGATGTTATTACATTTTGGCATCGTCTATTTCTTTCCTGTATAACCCTCGGGCCATAAACACAACCTTGTATCACAGTAACTGCACGATTGTTATAACCCTCCAGCAGTACATTTCATGAGGAGTTTGATTTAGCGATCACATGATTTCGTAGTTCAGAATAAAGTCAGGTGTACTGCAAAGATGTAGCTGAGGAAATGACAAAGATGGTGCACATGAAGTGACTTCGTCCTTGTTGTAGACCACACCAAATAGAGCCTTTTAAATAAGATAACACTGGTGGTACACACAGTCACGAACAAAGCATTGATTGAGCCGACATGTATGTGTCACTGACTAAACGGGCTACAGCCACTAATCTGGTCTCTGCCTTTTATTTACAGCCCGTTCTATGGAGAGGACTTCTACTTTGAGATCCCACGTTCATTTCAGGGTTTGTCCTTCTATGTTTATGCCAAAAGCGTGTTCCAAAGGGACCCACCTGTTGGTGAGTTGCATTGAGTAAGGCACACACTCACACAAGTATATTATCTCATGTTAGTGGACGAGTTGTAGTTTAATATGTTTGTGTATATGTGTGTCTTTACAGGAAAGGTGTCAATCCGGAAGGATGACTTGTGTAAATACAGTGGGAAGGAGCACTGGTTTAGCCTTCATCCAGTGGATCCCAACTCAGAAGTCCAGGTAATATGGTTGAAACAACTGGCACTCAATTTATCGCACATCTCACCCGGATGTTAATGTAAAACACGTTGGGTTTGACTTTTAACTACACATGCTTGGAAGTTGCCACTGAAGCTATATTGATAATGAGACTGCACCGCTCACTCATGCAGTCACAACTTGCTGCACCGCAACACAACAAGCGGGAAATTCCCTTCCATGTAATTTCACATTTGCATACAGATCTCATTGTTTCCTTGTCAAAGTGAGGTTTAATAGTTTTCTGCCCAAACCTAAAATACAGATACTGTAAATAGATTGCTGCTATTGTTATGAAAATCATTATTTTGGCCACCTATCAATAAACAATAAATCTGGACTTTCACGTCATGTTTTTAAACATCTGGATACAATTTATAAAGTATTTTTCTCCAACTCACTCCCATCTTTTTTTTTTTTTTTAATCATGCAAATGTAACTGGTCTGTTATTTCGACTGCATACAAGATGGTTACATAGAATTACCATATTTGTTATTGTTTTGTGCAACTAGTATGTCAACCTGTCCGAAGCCCAAGTGGGGCAAAACAAATGAGTTGTTGAAATGACTTTGTTTCTTAGAGGATTTGTTTGTTGGGTTCAGTATTGAGCTGGCTGCTGTAACACTCGCTAATGATTATGATACTGCAGCTGTAGTCTTGATTAATGAGGTGTTTTTCGTCCAGTGTCTGCCTCATTTGTTGAAACTTTGTTTTTTGTTTTGCCTTTCAGCATTTGATTGATCTTTTTTTTTTTTTAATCAGGGTTCCGTTCTAGTTTCCATCACAGATAAGGCACGCATGTAGATCGCTCTGTTTCAACTGTACATGTCTTTGATCAGATAGTTATTGTGGTCTGTTGGGTGAAACTGCAGCACACCACCACCACTTCTGTGCTGCTGTAGCTAACGTGTTGACTCTAGCTGCCATTAGCCCACGCCAGACTATTCTGGGTATGTGCTGCTACACTGATTCACTCACAAGTACACACTTTCAACTGCAAAGTTACATCAGTGAGTGATGGAGGTGTTATTGCAATGCCTCTCTGGCTTGGTTTGTTTGAATGTACCCTGTCAGCTGTGTTAGCTTTTAGTCCAGTTAACCTGCTCAGTTAATGAAGAAGATTGTAATGGTGGGATAAACAATACACACTTTTTTCAGATTCATTAAGAAAGGATAGGTAGTTGTAGTGTGAGTGTTTATTTTCTGATGATAGGGGCTCATTTGGATTTTTGCTAAGTAGTAAGTATATTGGCTTTAAGGCCTATCTTGTACCAGAAAGGACCACTCGCCATCGCAGCCAAGTGCTGATTTGCAGAGACAGAGTGCAAGTGTGTGGGTGTTTTGTTTAGCGCTCTCTCTCTATCTCTTTATCTCTCTTCAACACTTCCGAAGGCGAGACCGGCAGCCTTCACCACATCCGAACCCGTACAGATCTTCTATGAGTGATGACAGAATTCACAGCTGCTGTGGCTCTTGTCACACATGGTACCGCCATTAACCTAAAACAACACGAAACATGAGGTTGAGCTGGCCCACATGTCTGTGACTAGGCCTAGAGAATACAATGAGAGAGAGAGAGAGAGAGAGAGAGAGAGAGAGAGAGAGAGAGAGAG